TCTTTTGTCACTCCTGACTTTAGCAAATGGGAGTGGCAGCTTCAAAATGGAAATTGAATCTCAGTAATTATGTGAAAGTGAGCAAGCTTTCCCTTCCCATTTAAACATGTTATTTTTTTAAAAAAAAACCTCAGATGAAATCATTTTAAATTTATAAAGCTCTGGAAGTCTATAATTGCTTTATTTGAAATATATTTAATCATAAAAATAAATGGCATACTGTATTTATTTCTTGCCCAGCCCCCAATAAAATCATTACTTTCAGGGGGGCACAAATATACTTTGAATCTTTTAGTCCAAGCATTTGCTTGGAAACAAGAAACTCAAGAAATTCCAGGCTTCCAGGCTTATAGATTTCCTTTCATGATGTCTCTATAGCAGTTAATTTATTTAGAGCCAAGGAGCAGGCCTTCTGCTACACGGTACATATTTTATGCCAATAAATATGTAAGAGTTTAGTGCAGTGGTTGAGGGATTCAGCTAGAAGCCAGGAGACTGAGAATTCTAGTCCTACTTTAGACAGTTGTGTGATCTTAAACAATCATACCTTCTCAGCTCTAAGAAGAAAGCAATGGCAAACCATTTATAAAAAAAAACCTTGTCAAGTATAGTCCGATCAAAATATACAGCAACCATGTTTTGTGTTCCTCATCCTTTATCATTCCTAATTTGGCAGGAATTGGGTTTTTTCCACAATAGTTGTCATTTGAAACACTATTTCATTTATTCTCTCTGATAAATAAATTTCCTCTGTGAGAAATGTGCATCCTTTCATTTGACCTGTTGTGGCCTCTTAGGCCAATTCCTGTCAATGTATGGTCAGAATGTGACAACTGAGTGTTGCTCAAAGAATGCTAGTCAGTTTAAATTCCAGAGAAAGGGAAGATGTAAGAGACAAAGAGTTTGGCCTGTGAAAAGCTTGGAATTCCAAAGAAATTTTTCCACCTCTTGGTGGAAAAAAAGGGGTTACAAATAGGTATTTATTTACAGAGAAGGCACAGATTAGCAGCCTGCATACACTTTATACAATGTACATAGCAAAAAGTTACCTTGCCATGACAACTAATAGGATATACTAAAGAAATTAACTTAAACCATAACCTTAAAATAACTTTTCACTCACTTTTAATTTAATATTTTAAAATTATGTTTGTTTGTTAATTATTTGTTCAAAGATGGGACATTGTTCCACACTTTTCTCACACACTGGCTAGTCATGTTATTGTTGTCTAGAACAGAAACCCATGACTAAGTAGTTGACAGCATAGAATAATCACTCCTGAAGAATGAAGAAAGCATCAGGCTCATGACCTTGGTGGGAAGAAGAAATCCCTTCTGAATTTCCTGCCAATGAGAAATTACCTCACCCTGCAACTCAAGAAGAAATACTGAGAGAATCTCTTTACTCTGTTTCTGCATAACCGGATTTGAAATTGATAAATAAAATTAGTTAGCTCAGCAAAATACTGTAGGGTTTCAGATGGGTGGCATCAAAGACAGATTACATCAACCATAACAAATGAAAGGTCCCATCGTATCTGGTTCCCCTTCAATTACTCCTGTTTTGTTGAAGTTAACTTTATCATTTCATGTTTATACTTGAATTCAGACATGTATATGTTACAGTTCTTTATGCAGCCATAGTAAGGGTGTATTTAGCTCATGTCTTTAGGCTCCTTTTGTGGGCAAAAGTATTTTACTTAAAAGTTTTCTATCACTGGAATCTTCTGTAACTTCTAGGACTGAGTTCAGTGATGGTTTTATAAATAAACTATGGTTTATAAATTGCACTGGTTCACATTTCACATTAAACTGTAAACTATAATTTATGAAGCACATTGGCTAGTGTCATACATAATATATTAAAACACAAACAAGCAAATTACATTTGGCTTAGTATGATCTGTATGACCATAACCTTGGCGTGGAATCAGAGAGAGATAACCTAATGTTATGATCTCTATTGCCTCAATAATAATCTCCCTAACTGAAATTTATTGTTGGTAAGTGGTGCTAAGTTAAATAATACTGTATATTCTATAAAAATACAAGTAGGAAGCTATTGTTTAAAGGATAGTTCTGTTTATATTCCTCTTCTACTAAATTAGCAGAAAGGATTAAATAAGGTCTAATTGTATTATTGATAAGGCTTTGGCCATGAAAATATGCAGGATAATTACTTACATAATCCTAGTCAACCCTAGTCAATTCCTATCCTGTTCTTCATTCTGCTAGAGTTTAGTATTGCACCAGCATGTCTTTACAAATATAGTTGGGATAGTTTTGCCAGACCCTTTTGTTAATTCCTATGGTTCCTTAGCTGGTAGATTTTCTATCCAAGGTAATACTACTTCACTCAGCTTATCAAAGGAGTTAACAGAAGTTTCAATTTTTTTTTCATTGTCATTTTTCAAACCAAACACCCCCCCCCGCCCAAAAAAAACATCAGGAAATGAATATATTAAAAAAAACCCTCAAAAGAATTAGCAGTAACATATTGCTTTATGGTTCCCCCCCCCATTTTATTTCCTGCTGTTTCTCTATTCTAGCTAAGCAGCATTTCCAGCCTACAGTATGTTCACCCCACCTCAAAGAGTTGTTGCTAAGAGAAAATACAACACTGACAACAATTTGATTAGTCAGAAAAGGGCTTTTTGTTTTGCAGAAAGTATTTTTTTTTTCTTCACATAAGAATAAACATACAGGATTTGCCAATAAGCACACATTTCTTAAATTAGGAAAAAATGAATGCAACCTTCTGCTTTTGTTTAACCATGCAACTTATTTGCTCAATAAATGTTCTTGGAAGACTAAAGCATCTTCCAGAAGTCCATATTTGCCCCTGAAATCCCTGTTATTTTGAATGGCTTTCAGTGTTCTCCACTCTTAAAATTATAGTACCATTGCTACTCTTAGTTCATTTGTAGTAAGCTACAAATAATAATGAGGGGAAAAGAACTGTTGCAGTTATTATTGCTACTGGGTTGTGTTTTTTAAAAAAATCTAGACTCTTTCAGCTTAGAGCTAATATATCACTTCACAAGGCAGCTGTTAGTTTCTGGACTTTGGTAAGATAGCTATTTGGTTCTTCTGCCTCTCCTGCACACAGAAGCAATTACAGAAGAATAATAATAAAAAAACCTTCCTCCTGCTCCAAGGAAAGAAGAAAAGCAAGTGATTCAGAATTCAATTGTAACAGTAGGGATAACCCTAACTCTGTTAGGGATAAGCTGGAAGTCAGACTGAGGAAAGCAATCTTTATGTGGGGATTTCAGAAATGGTACTTTTGACACAAAGATATCACTGCTTGGGAAATATTGAGCTGGCATCATAAACAATCCAACTATATCTGATCCCTACAGACTGAAGGATACCATTTAAATACAAACAGTTCTGCAGGATGTCTTTTCAAAACTGACCCCGTTTCCTAGCCCATCCTACTAATGATGCAGTGGCTATGTGCATCCTGTCAGATGTCAAGGTCAATGATACTCAATAGTACATTCAGTTATTTGTTACTTTTTCTGGCTTAGATTCTGAAGATTTTTATGCTACAAGTGATTGCTGAAATTAATGAAACCACTCATTAGCAGAATTCTTTTTGGGAAGAAGTGATGAGATGTTTGCTTAGAAGCATAAACCCATAAACATTTATAAGTCCAATACCTATTTCTCTTGGTGCTATTCAGAATATGTGTGAGAGATATCCACTTGACTCCTTGGGAGCTATCATACTTGGTAATACGAAGATAAACCCACACACACTTATCTGGATCCCTTCAGGCAGCATTGTAGATGATCTCTGATGGGAGTGGTGCATCTATCCTTGCTCTTCTTGACTCAGCTGCTTTCAGTACTATCAACCATGGTATTCTATTGGGTTAGGTGGCACAGTCTTCTGCTGGTTCAGCTCCTTTATTCAAGGCCAGTCCCAATCAATGTTGGTAAGGAGCAAAAGATCCAATCCACAGCTGCTCTTTTGTGGCAGGATTCAATATTCTCTTCGCTCCTTTTTAACATCTACATGAAACTGCTGAGTGACATCATCCTACACCATGGGATAAAATATCAGCAATATATATCTCCATCCCTGGTGATCCACGTGATGAAGTAGCTGCCCCCTCATGGTGCCTAGGGACTGTAGGGATTTGGATAGGGGACAACAGACTTCATATGAAACCTGGCAAAATATCTGTGCATTAAAGGGACCTGGATATCTGGAAGTTTGTCATCCTTATTTCTGGATGCGGTTACCCTATCCCTGACAGATCACAATCTGGTGGTTCTCCTAGACTTCAACTCCTGGTCAAAGAGCAGTTGTGGCTAGGCAAGCCTTTGCAAAACATCTGTAGGAAAGATACTGGAAGAGCCAGGGGGAAAAGTTAAATGAGACATCAGTTTGCAGTCCCTATGTAGCCACAAAAGAACAAAGTCCAACACCCCTTGAAGGTCAATGACCCTTACCTAATTCTAACCAGGTATTGACCATTACTTGAGAAAACTTTGTGCATTGGGTTTTAGCAATAAATCAGTTACTGCACTTTGAACATTCATGTGTGGACTTGGTTTTTCGCACATGATAACTTGTTGTGCGCCAGTTGCCCTTTCCTGGATCGTGAGGCCCTGCACAGTCATTCACCTCTGATTGAATTATTGCAGTGCGCTCTACATGGGGCTAACTGCTAACCTTAAAAGTGTATTTGGGAACTACAACTGGTACAGAATACAGTGATGCAGACAGTTTTTGAGGCCCCTCAGACATAACATGTCATTGTTGTTATGTGAGCTGCACTGGCTGCCAGTTTGCTTCTGGATCCAATTCAAGGTGTTGGTTGTTACTATTAAAATTATTTATGGCATGGGTCCAGCGTATATGAGAAACCATTGTACCCTGGTGGGACTCACCCACCCCACGCATTCCAACAGAAATTGTTCTGTCCCCGTCTCACACACGCACACCAGCAGTCAACCAAGAGTTAAAATAAACCAGCAGACAAGAATTTCCTTTGATAACAGAATTGGCAGCAACCCAGTGGCTGCTTGCCAAAAGTTTTTACTTACAAAGGGAGGTTTATTTCCTCCGACCAAAACATCAAAGTAAGTCCACAAAAGCCATAGAATAGTCAAGTCCAGTCCAAAAATCAATCCAAGCAGAGCATATAACAAAGTTCCAGAAATGCAGAATGACTTGCTAGCTTTCAGTTTTGTTCATCACAAGGCTTGACTGGCCACCACACCCTCTTTTATCTCCTGTGGGGTGTGGTCCAGTGACTCAGCTTAATCTCTGGCACGCCTCTTCCTCTGTTGTGCGCGCTTAGCTCTGCAATGCTGTTGGGGGTCCAGCCAAGACTCATCTCCATCGCTGTCCAACTGCAGCTGCTCCGAAGTGCCTGGCCCCTGGCCTATCTCTTGGCCTTCGGAGGACACCTGAGGCATTGCCAGAGAGGAGGGTCCTGGAGAGGGAGGCCTTGGCAACTCCTCTCCTTCACTTTCGGAGTCTTCTCGCTCCGATAAGACGGGCTCGTGGGTCTGAGTCACAACAGAAATGGCCTACTTCAGATCCTGTCAGCCAAAGAACTTCACCTGGAGGTGTTCAGGAGGAGACTTTTTGGCTGTGGCCCCTGCCTCTCAAATTTTTTCCTTCCAAAACGGCTTAAAAACTTGGCTCACCCACTTAGCCTGGGGCTATAATAGGGCCTGCTACATTCTTACCCCTCATCTATCATCTTGGTTTTTAACTTTTCTATTCATTTTTTTAAAAATTTAAACATTTTAGCTCTTTTTAACTTTTTATTATATTGTAATCTGCCCAGTATTGCTGTATCAGGGAGGTAGGCAACATAGAAATTTAATAAATATAAATACAGAAACACACACACACAAAAGCTACATGAGTTGCCACTTTGCCTCCACATCAATTCAAAGTGCTGGTATTGACCATTCTATCTGAGGCATCATCTCTCCCCATTTATATCAGCCTCCATGAGATCTTCCAGAGGAAGCATGATTTGGGTACCATTAGCTAGGATTTACATTTGGTGGATTTCAGGAAATGTGCCTTCTCTGCCATGGCACCTGCCTTTTGGAACATTCTTTCTGCTGAAATTAAATTAGCTCCATCCATTCTGATATTCTGAAAGATCCTCAAGATCTGGTTATCAAGTCTGGGACTCCCAGGGAACAGGAGGCATGATTAGATGGCTCCATTGCTAAACTGGCTATTTTTATTCTCTCTTGGCCTAGGGTTTGCAGCTCTGTTTTTATACTACCTATAATTAATGCGATTTTTGAATATTTCTTTTACATCTGTAGTTGTTATAAGTGGTTTTATCCATTTGCTGTGCACCACCTTGGGTTACTTTTGATGATATGGGTGATTATATAAATTTGATTAATAAATGTGTATGTAGTAGTTACCAACAATGTGGCATTTTTTCATATAAGAGTAAAATGTTGACGGGTATGAAAAATTACATGACAACAATGTAGTTGAGACAGACTAAGTGATTCATCGTAGCTCAGGAACAGTGCTGAGTTAGCTTTAAATTCTATTGTTCTGAGGTTTTGTAACCAGTTTAAACACTGGATGGATATAGCATTTGTCATCTCTGATGAATACTTCCTTTTATTTCTTCCACTAGAGCAGAGCAGTCCTAATCTTATTGGGTGTGCCCCTTTGCTAACACAATGGAGCACTACTGATAGGGTGGCATGCTGAACCTGGATGCCTCAGATAGGCTTGTTGGAATTGGGGCACCAGCATTCCATTGTCCAAACTTCTTTTTAATTCAAATCCTTTTTAATTCAGTTTTTGTAGTGAAACGTCACTTTGGCAACTTAAAGCATAATTCCTTGCTTCTGCATTCAGCAGGATGGAGATAGAGCACTGTGACCACTGATAATATACAGGACTTTGGATGCCATAAGGACTTTCTGGCAGATCTTTTCTTCTCCCAGCTAATTACATAGGATTGATGTATAGTTCACCAATGTATATTGATATAAATAGTTCCTTTTTCAGGCAGCAATATTTAGCAAAAAAAAAAAAAAAAGTAGATGGCTAAGTACATGATATATGAAAGCATACAGATCTGAGAAACAAAACTATTTTCAGCCTGCTTAATGCAATATCTATTCACATAAATCAGGCACAAATTCTGAAAAAAATACTTTCCCGATAGAAGAAGATAGCAGGATTGCTAATCTCTGAAGAATGCAAAGTTATTAAGTGAGATTAGTCAGATCTACAATTACTATAATATTTCTTACAATCTTTACAAGTAAATGTTTTTGAAATTCAAAACATGGTGGGGATTGTGACTTTTAACACTATAAAGTATTTTAATACCACAGCAATTAATCATAATATATGCTTTGCATATGCAGGATTGACTTACCATTTGAGAAAATGTGGTTCTTGTTTAAAGTATCATATTTGTATGGCAACCCTTAGCTTCACCTCCTGAGCTTCCCAACTTTTATCTATTAAGTGGGCTACTACCGTAAATGTTTGCAAGTATAATAAAGACTGCTATCCTTACGAAGGCCATTCAAATAGCAGTCTAAGCAGGGAAGTCCTTTGCTTCAAGCATAAAAAGTCTTAGCAGGATCCAATATATCTATATGGAAGCTTACATACCCATCCTTTCCATTTTCAATCCAGGTCTTGTGCTAGTGATTTTAGGGTGGTGGTGGTGGTAATACAATTTGCTATTACATTTGTGATGAGCCTGCTTCTGCTTATGATGTTTTACTGTTTGTTCACATAGGCACATGTTCATGTAGGCATACAGCAGTCATATTTACTTGATTGATAAGTAGCTGGGAATTGAAGTCTAATGCATCTGTAGAGAAGAAGATGGAAAAGGCTACAACAGGTATTGCCCTGAAGGAGAAAAGCATTTTATCTTATACATTACAGATCATCTACATTAAACAGACAATATCAAGTTCTAAAGTTCATGTGGAATCTAACAATATTTATTGATATTGTTTATCTGTTTTGCATGTTTATCTGTTTTGCATCTGTTTGAAAGGCAAACTTTTTTTTAAGCTTGCCACATTATAGGAATGCAGCCTATGAGCTTAATATATGGCTTAATGTGTTGTGGGTAGTCCTCGATTTACAACTACAATTGGAATGGGAATTTACATTGCTAAGCAATGCAGTTGTTAAGTAAATTGAGCCCAATTTTACAACCAGTTTTGCTGCGGTCATTAAGGAAATCCAGCCTTCCCCATTGACTTTGCTTGTTGGAAGCTGACTGGGAATGGTGATTACATCACTCTGGGATGCTGCAACCATCAGAAATACCAGCACTTGAATTTTGATCATGTGATTATGGAGATATTGTGATGGTTGCAAGTGCAAGAACTGGTTATAACTTTTTTCAGCATTATCTTAACTTCAAATAGTTACTAAACTAATGGTTGTAAATTGAGGATTACCTGTATTAGAACACAGAGAAAATGGGACTGAATAATAATCCCCAATTCAATTAATTGAGGATAAACATGTTGTATAACCTCAGTCTTGACTTCCTGTCAAATCCCAAAATTTCTCACAGCTGCATTGCAGGAATACTGAATTTTGTTCCCACCATTGCTAATGGAACAGCTTTTTTCACTTTGAGTATCTTTTTGGAAAAACCTGTTACACAACTCTATAGAACTACCACACACACAATAATATATTACAGAAGAGGAATGAGACTTAATAGAGAATTGGTTCTTTGCAGACATTCCTAATTCAATTCTGCAATAACCAATGATGAACTGCTTGGGTGAAACAGTTAAAAGTATGAAAGCAGTCATACCTATTCAAAACAATTCAAAAGTTTTGACCATTCAATAGACAGAAAGTCATATATATATATATATAAGCATATTAAGCATATTATGTCTCTTCCAGATCAACTTACCCACCCCCATCTCCCCCCCCCTCTGTGTGTTTTCAGTTGATCTGGAAGAGACATGTATAGATGAATGTTTTATACCCGCATATGAATTTTTGAAGCATATTATGTCTCTTCCAGATCAACTCACAACAATCTTCTTAAATTAGTTTGGATCCAGAACAAGCAGCTGGCAAAAGTTGAAATTTGGACAGTGTCCGAAAAAAAGCCACCAGTCATTTATCTGGACGCTAACCACAACTGAAAATAGAAACACATTATAAATAAGTATTTCCCGGGTGTTTTACCACGTCAAGGAATTATAAGGAGGGTCCTCGAGTCCCGATAGAGGGTACAATGCAGAAGAACATGAGCTTCATTTCCAATACCCAGGCACGTTTATCAAAAGACGAACCAGAAGAGAGTTTATATTTTTGAAGATCGATTTTTCCCCCGTTTCTTGCCATCAAAGTAAATCTTTAAATTCTTGCCCCGGGAGCAAACTCTAGAACCACTTACAATCATCTCTCAGCAATTAAGTCTACGAGCACTCTTTCCCTCCAGCTTAGAAAAAAAATCCCAAACGCGCCACGCCCCGTGGAGCTCTCGCCCGCGGGTTTCCTATTACGGGGACATGACTCAACGCTTGTGTCTTCCCTGCTAGACATCGCGGGGAGGGGGAGGTTAACAGACATTCCCTTCGCCCTTTTGATTGGCGGCCGATATTTAGCTACTTCCCGGGATTGGTTGGTCGGTTCCCGGAGGGCAGCCTCCACGGTGTAGGGGTAGCGCAGTTCACTCTTGTTTTTTGCCCAGTCCCTAACTTTGGGGTTGTTGTGTTGCAGTTCTTACGTAAGAATCGACGCTCCTTCTGCGAGGGCAGCGGGAGAAGGAAAAGAGAGGAAGGCGCTTTCTTGGCGGTCTGGGCGCCTCTAAAAGTTTGGCTCAAGATTTGGAGAGAAGCAGCTGCTCAAAGGCCCTCGACTCGCCATGGGGAGACTCGCCCTTAGCCTCCCCTTAGCGCTCCTGCTGCTGGCGGCCCTTTGCAGAGGTAAGGCCGATCCGAAAAAAGTTGCTCGGTCCGATTTCTCTCCCACACCTTTGGTCCCCACCCGCTGAGCTGGGTGCGGTCGCTCGGTTATTTTCTTCAGCCCGACGGGTCTACCCTTCTCTGGATCCCTCGATTGATGCCGCTTTGGTTCCAGCAGCCCCGCTGGATGCTTTATGCTGCAATGCCGCGGAGCATAAGGGGAAGGCCATTTATAAAAGCTTTAAAATTTTAGCTTTCGCCCTTTTTTTTTTTTTTTTTTTAAATCGGGTTGCTACTTCTCCACCCCGCCCAAGTTAGGGACAGATTTTGAGGAATTAGTCCCAGATGACTGAGAGACATTGATGGCTCGTTTGGATTGAAATTGCGCATTTTCCTTGAGGATTTTGTAATTCATAGGACTATAACAGATTTCAGACCTGGCCTCCAGATAAATCAGTGGTTTGCGATATTTGTTTAAATAGCATATTGTGAGCAGTTCATACAGGGTCACATTTATACTCAAATAAATATTTGGCTTAGGAACTTGAAGTCGTTGCCCAGCAAAATCCACTTCTCTTTCAATTTTGCATTTTGTATTACACAGTAGCCATAGTTCAATAACCGTGTTGTGTGAACCCCATTAATTGTAAATTAGCTTTTAAGTTTTTGGGTCAAAGTAGCCTCTGAATCAAATCGTGAAGGCAAAAGCATGAATGTTGCTAGGTCAAACAGCTGTCTATGACATTTGCACTTGTAGATTTTCAGAGGGACCAGAAAAAAGAGTAAAGCCAAAGGAAATCTTGGAAAATCTGCAGAGTGAAATGTTACATTGTGCAGTCTTATATTAAATGTTTGCATTTCAAGAAAGTCTCTGCTGAATTCTGTGGATTAAAAAGTACTTCTCCAGAGCTGAGATTTTAGTCTGTTGCTGCAAAATGGCATGAATGTTTGCAGGAGTGTAAAGACTGAATCACTTTGATGTGGCATATATTTTTATGAACTTCTCAGTGTCCCTAAAGTGTGTGTGCATGCACATGTGATTCAGATGGGATAGTGAGTGATAGGTTTGAGAGGAAGTAATCACAGAATTTAACACAGAACTGTAGCATTGTGTTAAGATAGATAACACAAATGACTTGATAATTTCATTGTGTTATTATTGTTCTAGTATTTGTTGAAGTTATTTTGCTCTACTTCATTAAAAGAATGTCTTAGAAAACTAAAGTATTGTCTCATTGAGCTTTAGATGTTGGCCTTTTTGGTGTCAGACTTGTCTTTTTCGATATGCTCAGGATTTCTATTACTGCTATAGCCATGATGGCAAACCTATGGCACACATGCCACAGTTGGCACGCAAAGCCCTCTGCGGGCACACAAGCCGTAGCCCAACTCAGCACCACTGCACATGTGCGTGTGCGCCTTCCACCAGCCAGCTTATTTTGGGGGATGCACAGGAAGCGGGCGCATGCGCCAGATGCACGTGCATGTATGGGGGTCACGCACATGTGCAGGGGGCAGGGGTTACACAGCATGCATGTTGGGAGCAGCGCCCTCCCTCCCGTTTTTGGGCCCAGGAGGCTGCAGGGAGGGCCTCTGGAGCCCGGGGAAGGCGTTTTTGCTCTCCTGGAGGCTCGAAGAAAGCCTTTGGAACCTGGGGAGGGCAAAAATGCCCCCCCCATGGTGCAGGAGGCTGAGTAGGCCACGTCCACCATGGCCACACCAACCCAGCAACCGGGCAGAGAACCGGTTGCTAAAATTTTTCAATCCTACCCCTCACGCGTGTGGGGAGTCGCGTGCATATGTGTGTGGGGGGGTCTTGTTTACATGCGTGGGGGGTTTGCACATTGCATTATGAGTGCTGGCACACACAAGCACTTTTGGCACACGAAGATAAAAAAGTTAGCCATCACTGTGCTATAGACTCAATACTTGTATTGAAAAGTGGTAGACAGGAATTGAGGGTAGTATGGTTGAATGACATTGTAACTTATTAATATGGACTAGTTATGAGGGCTAGCCATAAACCTTAAGTTGGTATGTTTGGAAATCATGACTATGATTTGGAAATTTATGACTGGGAGTCATAATGCAAGAATAAATAAAATGCAGCTTCTGCAGGATTTTGGAATTTTCCCCTATCAGCTACTCAAAATAGGAAATTTTCCTAACCCAGAATTGTGTTTGCTTTTTGGGAAAAATGCATTAATGCAATTGAATGCAGCTGTTTTATTTTGCCTTTAGTAAAAATGAAGTATTTTTAGATGTTAAAATATTTTCAGTTTACACTAATTGGAAAATATTTTTAAAAAGTTAAAAAATAAACATTTAATAGATATTATGGAGTAATAATTTGGGGGAGTAATAATTTGGAGGAAATTATATAAAAATGTAAAAAACCAATTATTTTTACCTTCAGAGCACAGAACAGTGATTACAGTACAAACTCCATAGATTTTTCATATTATTTCTTAAAATAACCTAAGAAACTCACTAATGCTATCCCTCCGTAGCATTTTAAGCGAATGGGGATGTGATTTGTTTTTTGAATACTTTTGTGCTAGCACATGCAGCATTGACTCCATAGAGCAGTGATGGCTAACCTTTTTCAGACTGAGTGCCCAAAGAGCGCGTACCTGCATGGGTACGCACATGCAAATGCACGTGCGTGTGCGTGAATCCCCAAATGCAATTCATGCGCAGCTGCCACATGTGTGCCCCGTGCATGCGTGCATGCCCCTCACATGCGCCCCACCCCCGTGCATGTGCGCGCAGTCCCCCCCACGTATGTGCGGTAGAGATCTGACAAGCTGGCCGGCAGGAGGCACGCTCACATGCACAGCAGAGCTGAACTGGGGTGATGGCTCATGTGCCCACAGAGAGGGCGCTGCGTGCCACCTGTGGCACGCGTACCATAGGTTTGCCATCACGGCCATAGAGTTTGATGTTTTGATATCGAGATATTCATAACTTTCGTTGTGTTTTTTCCTTCAGATTGTTTGCAGTTAATGCTGATGATCATAATAAAAATTGATTGATACAAACTGTTTGCAGTTAGCGATCATTTCCAAATTATCCACTATGTAACTTAAATAGGAAAACAAGTCATTAGGGAAGCTTTCAGAGTAATAATTTATATGAAGCCTGACTATAGAACAATTGGCTGGTCAGTTTTAAACCCAACATCATACTTTTAAATTTCTGCAGTAAACCTTTCTAATACAAAAGTAAATGGTAGTGTAGGTCAGCAAATGAAGTAAACAAGAATTATTATTTGTAAATAATATTTTTTTACTTAAAAATAGACTTGTCATTTGAAAAGCTTCTAAAATATTAATGTTGATTATAAAAATTCCTTTCCTCTTTAGTCACATATTGCCTTAAAAGGGTGTGGACTAGTTCATCTCTTCAATGAAGCCATTTTCCCATTAGTTCTGCATAGTTCTGTCCGGCTGATATTGTTGACCTGACTCTATAAATTAAGCTTTGTTTTTTCAATATTTTGAGAGTTTGGTTGTAACTGTTTTATAATATTTTTAGAGTTTGATTGTAACTGCTTTACAATTAAATAATTTATATTTTTAAATCTTTAGTTATATAACTTTGGATTATTAAGATGTGGAATTATACATTTTATAAAATAATAAGATAAAAATAAGTTTGAATGTATGTACTTCTTAAATTCAGCATATATTCCAAGAAAAAAAGCCTTAAAAGTTATTATTCCAAAGTCATCAGGGTAATATAACATTTAATAGTTGTAAGCTCAGCAGAAAAATATTCTGTGTTTGCTTTTAAGAATTTAATTATAGGACAAGAAAACGTGCAAAAGGCCGGCTTCTATCAGAAGATAAGCTCTTAAATAGTTTGTCCAGTTTATGTTTGCTTTATGTACTTATTCTTAGGACTGCAAATAATGTACCTGGTTTTAAAGAAATATATTTCCACCTCCCTGCTTAATGCAGGATCATCTGCTTTTGGGTGGAGGAAGAGAGAAGCAGCAGGAGAAGACTATTATTACATTTTAAGCAGCGAGGCAACAACAATGCACTGTTGCTTGGAATAAAGTTTAAGCTGAAAACAAACTCCAGGGCGCTGCTACCCACATTGGGGCAGTGTATTATATACTTCATGGTAATCCATTATAAATAGCTTAAGCAGTTTTTCATGTACTTTATCTTCCTTGCCTTTCTGCTTCTTCCCCTCTTAAATTGACTCTTGTAACAATCCTGTAATAAATTTTTTCCCCTTTCAGCAGGCAAAAAAGGAAATCTTGGATTCAAAAGCAAAAGTAGCTTGTTCCCAATGTTGCTTAGCATATTGCTTAGCACATTGTAAGCCGCCCTGAGTCTCCGGAGAAGGGCGGCATATAAATCAAATTAAAAAAAAAAAAATGTTGCCTAAGGCAAATTTTTGTATGCTTTGTGAACAATGTGAACAAAAAACACGTTTGCCTTTCTCTATAAACTACTATCTTGAATGCTTGGTTATCACAACCATACATGAATCCCAATTTTGATGATAGAGATATAAAGATAAATTTAGGGCAGCTTTCATGAAGTGGAAAAACTCTTGACTTGAGTGTGACTAATCAGAATTGCTCTGGCCAAGGCAAAAATTCTGATGTATTTTTGTACCCATTCCTTTATAGTCACCATCTGTATAAGAAGCTAAAAGTAGAATAAAAGCAGAATAACAGCTTCCTGTTTTTATTTCTCAGCACCTGGTATGGAAAGGCATTCCCTTGTGTTTGGAAGTTATATAACCATAATTTTCTAATAATTTCACAAATATGGAAACTAGTAAGGAAACTAGTAAATAAAAGTGCCTCAAGTTCCTTGAAATTAAAGGCAAGATATAAATGAAATCCATTTCAATATTGTTAATGTAAAAGCGAGAAGAGAACATCACAGTCGTTTTTAATAGTAGCTTAAATAGTACAGTGGCTTGTATGGATAGTTTTTGATTTGTGACCATTTAACAACAGTTTGAAGTTATAACAGCCTCAGAAAAAGTGCCTTATG